TAGAGCTCTGCACCACAGTTTCATGCTGTGTGACCTCGCTGAACTCTGATCTCTGTTTTCTTAACTCAATGAGACCACTGTGCTCTGATTATAGAGTGCACTTTTGCTCTGGTGGTATGGAATGTGACTCCAGACAGAGAGCTGAGGTAATCACTGAGTGCATTCTTTCTTTTCCTTCTTTTAAGAATTATTAACTCTGGCCTGGAGGAGTGGCTCAAGTGGTAGAGTGCCTGCCTAGCAAGCATGAGACCCTGAGCTCAAACCCCAGTACTACAAAAAAAATATCATTAACCCTGCCTGGCATGACGGTACCTTGTACTTCTGTAATCCCAGCTATACAGGAGGCAGGGAAGGGAGGATTGAGGTTTGAGACCAGCCTGGGCAAAAAGTTATCAACATCCTATCTCAAAAAGTAAGCAGGGGCACTACAGTATGGTGGTCCATACTGTAATCCCAGCAACAAGGGCATAGGTTGGAGGATCATGGGCAGAGGTCTGCCTGGGCAAAAGCAAGACCCTATCTGAAAAATTAAAAAGGGCTGTAGGTATAGGTCAAGTGGTGGAATACTTGCCTAGCAAGTACAAGGCCAAGTTCAAACAAACAAACAAACAACAAAATTAATCCTAGCCAGGTGTGGTGGTGTACATCTGTAATCCCAGCACTCAGGAGGCTGAGTCAAGAGGATCACAGGTTCAAAGCAAGCCTAACCTACAAAGTAAGATCCTGTATAAAAAAATCATAATCCTTTACTACCTGTTGTCTAATAGCTGAAAACAGTTTCATAGTTTTGTTTCGTGGTGTATTTTTTTTGGCAGTACTGGAGTTTGAACTCAGGGCCTTACACTTGCTAGGCACATGTTCTACCACTTGAGCCACTCTGCCAGCCCTATTTTGTTATGTTTTCTACTTGTAGATTGGTCCTTATTATTACTTAACAGCCCAACATGGATGTCATTTGAGCAACCTTCTGACCTCTGAAATTTTGGTCATGGTGTGCATCTGGATTTCACAGTAAAATGTCCTATGGGCTGGCCTCATTTGTCATTTGCTGTCTTAGTTTGTTTCTGTTGCTATAACAAAATATTTTAAGCTTGGTGATTTATAAATAGAAATTGATATCTTATTGTTCTAGAGGCTGAGAAGTGTGAGATCAAGGTACTGGCAGATTCAACTATCTGTTTCCAAGATGGTGTCTTGTCACTGCATCCTCACACAGCGAAGGTCACCCAGCAGAAGGGGACTAGTTCACTCCCTTCAGCCTCTGTCATAACAGCACTAGTCCCATGCACAAGGGCTAAACAGACATGACTCACTCACTCCTCTCAAAGCTCTTCACACTATCACATTGGATTAGGGTCCAACATAGGAATATTGAAGGGACACATAAACCATGCCACAGCCAAATGTGAAATACTGAAAAGGTGAAAATAGCAGATACAGAGGAATACAACTTTGAAGAAAATTAGTGACACTTTTTTTTCAGTACAGAGTTTGAACTCAGGACCCTGTGCTTGCTAGGCAGGTGCAGTACAATTTAAGCATACCCCAGTCCTTTTTTATTTGTTTTTTTCAAAGGGTCTCCTGTTTTTGCCCAGAACTGGTCACAGACCTAGGTCTCCTATCTATGCCTCCCTTTTAGCTGGGATTACAAGTAACTGCTACCATACCTGACTTATTGATTTAGGTGGTAGTCTTCATAACTTTTTGCCTGAGCTGGCCTTCAAACTCAATCCTCTGGATTGCCTCCTCTCAAGTAGTTGGGATTAAAGGCATGTACCAGCATGCCAGGCCTTAAAATGCCAAATTTTTTTTAAATAAACAACCTATGTAATCAGTTTTCTCTTAAAGACTATATGGACAATTGCTCAATAGTGATTATAATGCAAGAACCCGAATTTAAAAATGGAGGTCATATTTCTCTGTTATTATGTAGCCGTGTCTTCAAAAAACCATGTGTTAGTAGGTAGGCATTCTACCACTTGAGCCATACCCCCAGCCCTGCACCTGTTGGAAATTTAATCCCCTGGGCAACAGTGTTATGAGGTAGACCTTTCAGAGGTGATTAGACTGTCAGGGCTCTGCTGTCATGAATGGATCATTGTTGGTTGTGAATGGGGTAGAGCTTGTTGGATCTCTTGCTTCTTCTCACCCTTTCTTTGCCCTTTGATAGAGCAAGCAGACCCTCACCAGAGCCAGTACCCCGACACTGGACTTCCTAGCCTCCAGATTTGTAAGAAATCAAATTTCTTTTTTCTTTCTTTCCTTCCTTCCTTCCTTCCTCCCTCCCTCCCTTCTGGTGGTACTAAAGTTTGAACTTAGGGCTCACATTTGCTCTACCACTTAGAGACATGCTGCCAGCACTTTTTTGTGTAGATAATTTTTGAAATAGGGTCTAGCAAACTATTTGCCCTAGGCTGGCTTTGAACCTCCATCTTCCTGGTCTCTGCTTCCTGAGTAGCTAGGATTACAGGTGTGAACCACCAGTACCAGGCTAAGTTTCTTTTCTTTATAAATTACTGAATTTGTGGTAATACAAAATGGACTAAGTCACATATATACATTCTCTCGACAAATATCTATTGTTTACCCATTTTATGCCAGGACTCTGAGGCACTGGAAATAAAATGGTAGCTAAATAAACCATATTCCTACCCTCATGAGACTAACGGAGTAGTGTAAATAATCACATAATTATTACATATGATTGTGGAAAGTGCTCAGAAGAAAAGCACAGGGATTATGAAATAGCAAAACCAAGTACTCATCAGGCTCTTACATGATCCAGTGGTCTCTCATTTAGAGTCTTTTGTTTTTCTTTTTTTGGTGGTACTGGGATTTGAATTCAGGGCTTCCAACTTGCAAAGCAGGCACTCTGCTGCTTGAGCCACACCTCCAGCCCATTTTGCTCTGGTCATTTTTGAGATGGGGGGGGGTTCTAAGGAACTATTTGCCTGGACTGACCTTGAACCTTGCTCATCCAGATCTCAGCAGGCGTGAGCCTGTGTGATGCTTGGCTGGTTTGGAGACTTCTGTTTTCCCTTCTCTAGTTCTATTCTTCAGGAGAAGCAGCCTTGCTGAATAGGAAGTGATTCCTGGGCTTCACTGCATCTTCAAAGAAATGGACTTCCCATCAGTTTTGTTTTGGAGTCCCCATCACTGATCCTCACTCCCGGAGTCCTGGAGTATGCCTGGGCACTCTGGAGATGTGTAGTCATCAGCGCATAGCATTTACCCACGGCTAGCTTCCTTGGGCAGGTAAATCTTTACAACTTTTCATATGCTTTCTATATCCCTTTTTTCCGTTTCTGGTCTCTTGTTCTATTCTTGCGGGCATGCACCTTTAACAAATTTGTTGTCATGTTAGGAGATTTCCAAAGAAACAGAACTTGTCTCGTTTGTTCATCCCTCCAGTTTTACAGAGAAGCCTTTTCTCATTAAAAACAAAACATGCCAAGCATGGTGGTTCACAGCTGTAATCCCAATAATCAGGAGGTAGAGACAGAAGGATTGAGAGTTCAAGGCCCTGTGTTATATAGCAAGACCCTGTTTCAAAACAAAACAAGGGCTGGAGGTTTGGCTCAAGTGGTAGAGCACTTGCCTAGGAAGCAGAAGGCTTAAGTTCAAACCCCAGTACTTGCCAAAAACAAAACAACAAAAAGACCAAGCAGGTGTAGTGCCATAGGCCTGCAATCCCAGCTGCACAGGAAGCTGAGGAAGGCAAATAGTAAATTCATGGTTAATCTGGACAACACAGTGAGGCCCTGTATCAAACAAGAGAGAAAGAGTGTGAGAGAATGAAAGCACTCTCTACAGAAAATTTAGGACACTGGTCAAATAGAATATATAAATAATAAAATAAACATTAATCCCAACATAAACCAGAGTTCTAAGCCATTGCTTTGAGCTCCTTTTTGTGGTTTCTTACATGTGATGTGCATTGCACATGTTAATAACTTTGTCTTTCTCTTGTTAATCTCTTTTCTTAAAAGTTTATCAACTAAGAACTAAGATGCCTAGAAGTGGTCTTTAGCCTCCCGTACATATTATATGACATACTGACATGCATGCTGAAGTACTTTGGGGAAATTGTACCAATGTCTTTGAAATGCTTAAAAAATAAGATAGACTGAAGAAAAGACGGAGTGGTTGAGAGATGCTGAGTTTTGGAAATGGTTTGAGTGTATCCCCCAAGGGCTCCTATGTTGGGAGTTTACTCTCTAGTGTGGTGGTGCTGAGAGGTGGTGGGATCTTTAAGAGGTGGGGCCTGGTGGGAGGTCCTTCATTCGTTTGAAGGCAGGTGTTAGGAGCAACTGTGAGACCCCAGCCTCTTTGGCTTCCTTTCTGTCCCCTTGATCTCTTGCTTGCACACATGCTCTTACTACCCACCATTAAGCCCTTGCCAGAGTCAGCACTATGATGCTTGTACTCTCAGCATCCAAAATTGAGAGCTAAATAAACTTTCTTTTTAAAGTTAGCCTTCCTCAGGAATTTCATAATAGCATCAGATAATGAACTTACACAATAGATGTGTGCTCATGGGCTAGTGGAGTGGCTCAAGAGGCACCTAGCAAGTACGAGGTCCTGAGTTCAAGCCCCAGCACCACCGAAACAAAAAAAACAAACAAAAAGCAATAGATATGATCAAAATTACTCTTTTTTTTGTGGGTAAAATTTTTCAACATTTGTCCATCTGAAAATTAAAACATTGCATACTAAAACATTGAAAAAATGAAAATAGTTGGTTTTTTAATGCAAAAATTCTAGCTGGGCACTGGTGGCTCATGCCTATAATCCTAGCAACTCAGAAGGCAGAGATCAGGAGGATCAAGGTTTGAAGGCAGCCCAGATACAGTTCAAGAGGCCCTATAGAGATCAGGAGGATCAAGGTTTGAAGGCAGCCCAGATAAGAGGCCCTATATCAAAAATACTCAACACAAAACATGGCTGTTTTGTGATACAGCACCTGCCTAGCAATCAGGAGGCTCTGAGTTCAAATCCCAGTACTACAAGAGAAAAAAAAGAAAAAGTTGATCCTTAATATTAGTAATATATGATTTTAAAATATGTTGATAATCCTACTTTTTCATACATAAAACAGATTGCATCACTTGGGGCTTTTCTGTACATTTTGATGGGCTTCATTATGTTATTTTTATGCATGTATATAATGTTCTTTGATCATATTCACCCCCTATTACCCTCTTGTGCATCACTTATTAATTAGGAAAATGTGTTTAAGAATGTTAATAAGGAATGGTTTAGCATACACAAACTGAATTTCACAATTTCTTTCTGAGAGGTGAGGGTGCAGTTCAGACGCAGAACCAGGAAAAAAAGTCTCTTCCTCATATACTACACTCAAAGTTTCGTAAGACTTAATTGTGAGAGCCGGTGCCAGTGGCTCATGCCTGTAATCCTAGCTACTCAGGAGGTAGACAGCAGTAGGATCACGATTCGAAATCAGCTGGGCAAATATTTTGAAAAATACTCAAATCAAAAGAGGGCTGGCAGAGTGGCTCAAGTGGCAGAGCATCTGACTAGCAAGTGTGAGACCTTGAGTTCAAGCCCCAGTACTGCCAAAACAAACAAGTAAAAAAACAAACAACAAAAACAAAAAGATGAGAACCTCTGAATAAGTCAATACAGTTAATCTGGTTATAGTTCAAATTACCTCCTCCTTACTGACTTGAGATTGTGCTCTGATATTTTGCATTTTTTTTTTTTTTGGGTGAACTCTGAGCTTTACAAGTACTCATCACTTAAGCCACACTTCCAGCCCCTTATTTTCCTTTTTGAGGATAAAGTTCACAGCAAAGTCTTCTGTGGCCCTAGCTCCACCTTACTTTCAGTTAAGCTTTAAACTGCTGCAGTATGGTAACCACTGGTAGCTCCTCTGCACTGTTTCCAAAACTTGAAATCACACCCTTGCTCTTAAGACCCTGTTGCCCAAATTCCTAATTTCCTCATCTTCGCCACTCCCTATAGGCATGACTTCCTCAGGAAAGTGTATGGTGGGTAGCACCGTTTGTACTTACTCCTCTCCTAGCACTGGGCACTGTACTGTACTTGTCTCCTTACAGGGTTATCCTTCTCACAAAGCTGAGTCTTTTGAGGACAAAAATTTGCCATGACTTACACACTTGAACATCCATGAGTTCTACAATACCAGACAGGTTGTGAAACGCAATAAAGGTTACTTGAACTAAACTGAAGGCTGGACAGTTGCTGGATGAGTCAGAAAAGGGAGTTTCCAAGTCTGAAATCTTGGTAGTGAGGACCTCCAGGGGCTGACCTGAGAGTTCGGGGTTGGGCCACGCATCAGAGGTGAGCCAGGGGGTGGCAATGACGTCACAGAACCATCAAGTCCAGAGGGTCGCAGGTCCACTGCGTCTGGCCTTGGGGTGAGGGCAGGGGCAGGCAGGCCCCGCTTTTGCGCTGTGTTCCCGCAGGAACTAGCAGGGAGATAAAGAAGTGCTTAGCAAGCGAGGATCCAAAAGCCCACAGTCACCCCGACGGTCACAGGGCACGGGGCCGATCGCCTTTTCACAGCATCACTGCCCTGCACTTGCCCTTGAGTTCATTGCCCTGTCTCCGGGAAGTCCAAGTCCAGCCACGGCTCTAAGGACGTCATGTGACTAGGGGAGGGGCCTGCCGGACGCCTTCTGAGCCACCCGCTTCAAGTTCAAAACCGGAGGAACTTATCTCGGGCCGTCCAACACCGCGTCTTAAGGCCCGACGCCCTCCGCAGCCTCCCAGAAGGCCATCGCTCCTACAACCGGAAGGGGCGGGCCAACGCCCGGCTGGGGGCATCCGCCGCCATGGCCACTAGTGGGGTGGTGGGCATCTTCTTGCTCTCTGCACTCCCACTTTTGTATCTGGAGCTCCGGCGTGGGATCCCTGACCTAGGTGAGTGTTGACGTTTCTCTGGCGCTCACAGCTGGAAGATTGTCTCGAATGTTGTATAGAATTAATTCTCCACCCTAGACGCGGCCCTGACTACAATTCCCAGAATGCACTGCGCGCGCTTCCGGTGTGGACTCCATTTCGCCCACAAATCTCCCCCAGGATCTGGCCAAGTCCTGTGTGGAAAGGACACACCTTGGGGTATGGGGACGTTCTAGAAGTCGTGATGAGTGCTGAGAAAGGAATGAAGAAGTTGGTAGAGCCGGGCGACAATGGCGCGCCAGTAATCCTACTTCCTTAGGAGACAGATCAGGACAATGGAGGTTCGAGACCAGCTCCTGCATATGGTTAATGAGACCGCCCCCCCATCTCCAAAATAATCAGAGCAAAATGGACTGGAGTTGTGGACCAAGAGTAGAGCGCCTGCCTCGAAAGCACGAAGCCCCGAGTTCAAACCCCAGTCCTACCCCTCCAAAAATGAGTTGGGGCTAAGGAGCTCAAAACAACATCTATTGTACCTCTGTTATAACCCAAACACTTAAGTATGACGTAATAAACATTTAGTCTGCACCACAGCCATAAGGGGTAGGTATTGTTACATTTACCGTTCTGCAGTTGAGGGACCTGAGATCTAGGGAAGATAAGTGAATTCCCAGAGTTTTTATATTTTTTATTTTTATTTAATTTTTTTGGCTGTACTGGAGTTTTGAACTCAGGGCCTTGCTCTTGCTAGGCAGGCGCTCTACCAGCCTTTTTTCCTGTAGCTATTTTTTTGGGACAGGATCTTGCGTTTTTGCTGGGGCAGCCTGGACCAAGTTCCTCCAACCAACACCTTCTGCATGGTTTGGATTACCAGTGGACATCCATGCTGGCTTATTGGTTGATGTCCAGACTGGCATCAAATGCTATGCCAATCTCCTCATCCCCAGAAGTTTTTAAAAGGTCATTCTGGGTTCTGGGCAGAGAATGTTTTGGAAGGAAGCTGTTGCAGAAGTGTAAAGCTTTTAAAACTTTTATTTATTTTTAATTTTTGGTGTAACTGGGGTTTGACCGCAGGGCTTGGCACTTGGAAAGTGCTCTACCCCTTGAGCTACACCTTCAGTCCATTTTGCTCTGGTTATTTTGGAGGTAGAGTCTTGCAAACTATTGGCCTGGGCTTGCCTCAAACCTCTATTCTCCTAATCTCAGCCTTCTAAGTAGTTGGGATTAGAATTTTTAATTTTTTAAATTTTTTTGTGAGGCTCAAGTTTGAATTCACACTTGCTAGGCAGGTGCCTTATTACTTAGGCTATGCCTCCAGCCCCCTCTTTTTTTTTTTTTTTTTTTGCTTTAGTTATTTTTAACATAAAGTGTTGTGGGGCTGGCTTGGACCTTGATCCTTCTACCTATGTCTTCATGCCTAGCTTCTTGGCTTGTTGGTTGAGATAGCATTGCCTGGGCTGTCATTGAACCACAAACCTCCCAATCTCGGCCTTCCAGGTAGCTGGGATTATAGATGTGAGCCACTGTGCCCAGCCTTAGGCAAGTTAGGTTTTTGAAGTAGGTCAGTAGTGATAAGGATGTCCTGGACCAGTATGATAACCCAGGAGATGAAATGTGGACAGATTTGCCATGCTGAGGAAGTAAATCAACAGATTTTAATGCTGGGTGAGGAAAAGAAAGTGCATTTGGTAAAGGGAAAACCGAAGGAAAAATGGTAAGGGTGTGGAGAGTCAGGAGTTGGTTTGGGGTATAATTAGTAATCAGTTTACATGTCTTTTTCCCTCCTTAAACTCAGTTCTAAGGTTAAAGACGATGATGAAACTTAGTGCACATCACATCATTTCACCTACTTCCTGACCTCCAAGTACTCAGGTGCCCGGAAGTTTTGCTTAAAATAAGAAATCAAGATAAAATAATAATAAAAAAAAATTTACAAAGACTCCCACTCAAGCTGTATTGGAATAGAACAAGATTTTTTTAGTTGTTGCATTTTTTGGTGGTACTGGGGCTTGAACTCAGGGCCTCATGCTTGCTAGGCAGGTACTCTACCACTTGAGCCACACCCCAGCCCTTGTTTTTTGCTTTAGGTATTCTTTGAGTAGGGTCTCACATTTTTGCCTGGGGCTAGCCTCAAACTGTGATCCCCCTACCTACAGCCTTCCCCACAGCTGGTGAGGCATGCCTCACCACCCTGATTCAGGGTGGTGTTCAGATATCGTTCAGAACAATACTTGATAGAATAAGAGTGTGGCTGGCCATTACAAAAGTAACTTAATACCTAAACACTGGCACAGAGAGAAGTCATTGAGTTATAGAACCTATGTTCCGTAATACTGCCTTTTCTTCTAACAGGTAATCAATCTTCAAATATTACACAGGACTATAAAGGACTAGATCTGGATGTATACTTTCAAGTAAAAACTGTTTAAGTGACAGCGATTTTTTTTTTTTTTGTACCTAAACTGTAGCCCCCAGAAGCAGGGCACTTTGAAGGACAGCACATGTGAGGAACCAGCCTTCAAATATTTAGCTCCAGTACACATGTAGTGTATTGGTAGGGAGCTGGGGGTGTAACTGAGTAGATAGAGCACTTGCCTAGCATGTGGGAGGCCATGGGCCCAGACCCTGCACTGCAGAAAAGAAAAGAAGAAGCAAACAAAAATGCATTGGCAACTAAGGCTTTGACACAATAGAAAACCACAGGAGTCACTTTCCAAAACTGTATGTCTAGTCTAAAAACTACAGTGTGGTGAATGGATAGGCCCTGGGGATCCAAGTGGTCATCCCACTAAGACTATTAGTATCCATTAGTACTGTTCCACTCCTATCCAGCCCTGCGTCAGTTGCACATGGAAATATGAGGTGTAAAATAGACTTAAACATTGTTAAATGAAGCTGGGGAGGTGCTGAGATAGGAAAGTCTGGAGTTTGAGGCCAGCTTGGGCTACATAACAAGACCTCTCTCAAACCAAACCAAACCACCTTTAACTGGTATGTAGAAGCCCACCATCAAGAAACCAAAGGAGCCAGGCGCTATACTTACTCCTGTAATCTCAGCTACTCAGGAGGTGGAGATCAGGAGGATTGCAGTTCGAGTGTAGGCCAGACAAAAAGTTAGAGATCCTGGTGGCTCAATCCTGTCATCCCAATTATGCAGGAGGACTTAAGTAGGAGGATGGAGGTTTGAGGCTGGCCCCAGGCAAAACGCCATACCATATCCAAGAAATAACTAAAGCAAGAAAGGGCTGGTGGCTCAGGTGGTAGAGTGCCTGCTTAGCAAGAATGAAACCTTTAGTTCACAATCCCAGTACCATGAAAAAAAAAATTGATCTCTGAACAATTTAAATTTCTAAATAAATAAACCCAAATTATGGATTTTTTAAAAAAGGATAACGTGTGTATCTGTTTTCAGCTAAAAACAAAGCCTTTAAACCCAGTGTGGTAGTATGTGCCTGCAATCCCAGCACTTGGGAGGCAGGAGGAGGAGGATTCTGAGTTCAAGGCCAGCCTGGGCTACATAGGAGTAGCAGGCCAGTCTGAACTATGTAGTGGGACCCTGTTCCACCAAAGCCAGAACCGAATCAAACAAACACAACTGAAAAAACAAAACCCAAACATTTACATCTGTGTGTTTGTAATTCCTTCTTTAATATTTAATCGACTAACCAGCAGCCCTGATCACATGGTTACAGGGTTCTTCTGTATCTCTGCCAAGGAGCTTGAGAATTACAGAACAAAACAAGACTGAAGCTCTTGGAGAAAGAAACCATTTTCACCTAGCTTTACAGCTCTTCCCCTCAGCATTCAGTAGATTGTATTACACAAAGTAGATACTCATTACATCTTCGCTGATTGAATCTTTACCTGGTTTTTATTTATTTTTTTGGTGGTATGGGGTTTGGACTCAGGCAGGCCCTTGCACTTGCAAAGGCATACACTTTACTACTTGAGCCACTCCACCAGCTCCCACCTGAGTTCTTAAAATGTAAGACTAAATGCTGAATTGCTACTTTTTTCCTACCTAGGAACATGCAAATCTTAATTTTATTTGTAAATGAATAAATATTGGGAATTAAGGAAGCACATATTGTGAGAAATAAGAATTTGGTGTCTCAGGGGCTGGGGTTGGAGCTTAGTGTTGAAAGGTGTGCTGAGTTTGTTGGACGTCCATTGCCCACCCCTCCCACCCGGCAAAAAAAAAAAAAAAATCCATTGGGAATGACTGTTTTAAATAGACCTAGAATTTGAGCAGATGATCCTCTCACAATTTGCTGTGTAACTGTGTAGAGAGGGCTGGTGGAGTGGCTCAAGTGTAAAGCAGAAGCTAGCATGAAGCCCTGAGTGTAATTATATAGATTAAATTTTCCTTCTTCCCTTAGGAGAAAGAAATTCAGTTACGTGTTCTTTATTGTTGTTGTTTTGCTTTTGGTGGTCCTGGAGTTTGAACTCAGGGCCTTATGCTTGCTAGCAGGCACTCTTACTACTTGAGCCACTCCACCAGTCCTTCTTTGGTTGGGTATTTTTCAAGATAGGGTCTCAAGAACTGTTTGTCCAGGGCTGGCTTCACACCATGACCCTCCTGATCACTGCCTCCTGAGTAGCTAGGATTACAGATAGGAGCTGCAGGTGCCCAGCAAGATACACATTTTTTTTGAGGTTCTGCAGCTTGAACTCAGGGCCTACACCTTGAGCCACTCCACCAGCCCTTTTGTGTCATGGGTTTTTTTGAGATAGGGTCTCTCGAGCTTTTTGCTGGCTGGCTTCAAACTGTGATCTTCCTGATCTCTGCCTCCTGAGTAGCAAGGATTACAGGTGTGAGGCACTGACATTGGGCAAGATGTGTTTTTGACAGTTATATTTTACATTGTAGCTGATCACTGTAATTATATCTATATTCCTAAGACAGAAGATGTTTGTCCTAGAATTACTTTCTGGAAACAACAAGCATGATGAATTTTAGTGCCTAAAGGAGAATCTTTGACAAAAATTATAAGGCAGTTGTGTAATTCAGGGCTGGGGATGACGTGACTTAGTGGTAGAGGGCTTGCCTTGCATGTGCTCATTCCAACCCAGGCCTGCAAAAGGCAAGCATGTTAAAAGGGTGTAGACAGTTGTGGAACTCAACTGTGAGCAGTTTCTGATGTAAATGGTCTTCTCTTATTTATTATTAGAATCAAGAAAAGCGGGATTTTTTTTTTTTAAGAGAAGTGTTTCTAATTTTATCTTTTTCCTTTATAAGGAATTAGAGATCTCATTTTGCTGTGTGGCCGGATTTTCTTGCTGCTTGCTCTTGTTACTTTAATTATTTCCGTGAGCACCTCATTGCTGAACTCATTTAAATCTTCAAAAGTTTATCTAAAAGGTAATTTTATTATTTATGCTACCCTTTCAGCATTTCTACTCAAATTTTTCTTTTCTTACTTCACAATTTTGCACAATAAGATCTGTTTCGCCAATTATTTGTGATGTGTAATTTGAAGAGGGAGTGATCGTTATAATTTCAGCAATGATTATCTTGAATGGACTATAAATATCAACATTTCCTATCATGTGTTTTCCTTACATATATTTTTGAAATTGTCATTTCTGAGTTGTTACGGTGTAAATTTCCTAATTTTAAATTGTGCATTTGTGTCACTTAACTTTTTTTTTTTTTTCCAAGTTCAACAGTAGTAATAGGAATTTAACTGCTTTTTTTTGTTTGTTTTGTTTTGTTTTGTTTTTGAGGCACGGTCTCATTATGTAGTTCAGGGTAGCCTGGCACTTGCTGTGTAGCTCCTCATACTGGCCTTGCTCTCACAATCTTCCTGCCACAGCCTCCTGAGTGCTGGGATTACAGGTGTGCCCCACCATGCCCTGCCTAACTGCTTCTTGGTACCTATAGTTTGTAACCTATTTTAGAGTAAGTGTATGCACCAGTAATCTCTAAAGATCTTTTAGTTTAATTTTTCATTCCATTTGAGCAGTTTTTATTTACGCATCTGTATCATGGATATAGGGAAATGCTTTTAATTTGAGGAAATCATGCTTGTTTTTGTTTTGATAAGAATTTGTGAGTTCTTGAAACTTTTAAAAATAATATTGTATTTGGTCTCAGAATAGATGCATCTTAAAACTAAAAGCTATATCATGTATTAGGAGAATGCTTACCTGTAATGAACTTGGTACATTGTATTTTGGTTTATTGTTTTTTTAAATGTAAGTAGACTAAAAGAAATGGACAGTGTTTGATTTATAGTCCTTTCACATTAACTAATTCTAAAAGATTATTCAACTCAAACATAAATGGTAATATGGATGTTTTAGGGTATTCTAGTGACAGATGTTGGGTTTCTTTTTTTTCCTTTTGATAAGTTATTATTATTTTTTGGTAACTTACCAAAAAGAAAAAAAAACCCAAATTTCTTCATGTGATACAGTTGGAAATTAAACAAGAACATTATAGTTTCCCTTAGGAATTTTTTATTAAATACATTTTTCGTTCTGGGGGTGTGTGGCTCGCTGGTACAGGCACAATTAGCATGTGTGAGACCCTGGGTTCAATCCCTGGCACTCAAAAATAAATGAATAAAACATTTTCTATCAGGATGCTATTTGCTGCTTACACTAGACTAGCAGGTCAGCTAGTCCATTCCGTTTTCTTAATAAGGGACACATGCCCTTGGTACAGTTTCTGTACTTTAAGTTGTACTATTGTTTGCTGGACTGCAAGTCATTTGCTGTTTTTGTGGGTTGACTGTTTAGAGGCATAAAGCTCACTGACTGCTAATGCTGTCTAAAAATTAACATTAACACTCTACTGATCACTGTTAGATTTTCCTCAAAGAGCGAAATCCCAGCTTGCATGCACTTTGTCTTCCTAGTTGTCATCAGATATTGAGCTGGAAAGGTTTGCAAGAGTCGGTGGATCAGAAATTCAGAAGCAGTCAGTTTTCAGTGCCTTGGAGATTATCCTCTAGGGGTTTGGGGGTGGAACTCAGTACAGAGAGCTTGCCTAGCATGTACAAGGCCCTGGTTTGATTCCCAGCACTGCCCCAAACAAAACAAAACCAAAAACCCAACCTCTCCCTGCTATTGATTTATTTACAAAGTACATCTTTGGTGAGAATTTGGAAAGAGCAAATCTGATCATGTAGCAGGTTTCTGGCCAAACTGGGTTTTGTGGTTTCCTGCTGCCCTTTCCTGCTCTAATTTATATAAACTTGAGGAACTGTTTACTGCCACAGGGATAATGGTGTGTGCAGAAGAAAGTGCTCCTGTTAAAGGAGCCATACTTTCCAAGGATACAGTTCCCTAATAGATGGCCCTCAAGGAATAAAGTTATTCTATTTGTGAGCCATTTTGAATATTATTTCTGTATTAGAAAATTATTTAAATGTTCTTTTAAGAATCAAGTTACGTACTACATGAAATTTCTTATACTGAAAATAAAAAAGGGTCGACAACAGCTGAAATCCTTTCTCTTGACATTCAGTGAGTAGTAACCTAACAGTGGCTCCGTCCTTTCAGTAATTGACGAGCACACCTACCTTAGGGGATGGGGCCTGTGGGTGTAGCTTTTACTGTTATGTCCAAGGGCAATGGATGGCCTTGCTCATGCCTGCTGTCAGTGTCCCATGCTTCAGCTGCTGTGCTGTGCTGTGCCTTGGAGTGCTGAAGCCCTGCAAGGAAAGCCTCCTTAGCAAAATTGTTATAATAATAACGCCAAGCAGAGTACAGGTGGTTCATGTCTGTAATCCTAGCTACTTGGGACGTTGAGATCAGGGAGAGTGCCTGAATTTAAAGCCTAGTCCCACTGTTTGCATGTACCTCATTTTCATTACTTGAAAAAATGTTTTTCAAAGACTGCTTGTGTCTTCCAAAATGTTAAAGTCTATAAACTGATTTTAGAGAAGAGGCTCTTTGATTTGTCAATATTTGGAAATTAAAAAGCTCTTTTTTATTTTGTTGTCTTAGAAGAAGAAGAGGAGGAGAATCAGAAAAGACAAAGACTTGTGAGAAAAAAACAACAAGAGGCACAGGGTAAAAAGGTGAGGCATAATTTTTAGCGTATATAGAGAAAATACAAAAATAACTAGAGCATTCAAAACTGAAGTGTGTTGCTTTCTTTGTACTAGGACTTTAAAAATTATTGAGGTCAAATTCACATGATGTGAAATTACCCTGTTTTTTATTTTATTTTGTGGGACTGGGGTTTGAACTTAGGGCTTAGCACTTGCAAAGCAGGCGCTCTACTGCTTGAGACACCCCTCCAGTCCATTTTACTTTGGTTATTTTGGAGATGGGGTCTTGCAAACTATTTACCTGGACTGGCCTCAAACTGCAATTCTCCTGATCTTAGCCTCCCAAGCAGCTAGGATTACAGGTGTGAGCTACTGGCACCTGATCAGGATGCTACTTTTTTTTTTTTTGGACAAAATTGAATTAGTATGAAAAGTTTCTAACCTGGTTCTTATGTGAATTTTTAGGAACATTAATGTGTATAATAACCACATCTGTTTTGTTTTTTTGATAGGCCAGCAGATACATAGAAAATGTTTTAAAGCCTCAGCAAGAAATGAAATTGAAAAAAAAGGAAGAACGCTTTTATCAAATGACTGGTGAAACCTGGAAGTTAACCAGTGGTCACAAGCTTGGGGTTAGAAAATTTTCTCATTTTATATTTTGAACCCTATTATTATTTATGTCTCCTTTTATATACGTTGATTTTTTAAAAATTGAAAATGAGGTGAAATAGTCTTTGCTTAGGCGTCTTCATTGATAATGATTATATATCAGTTTGTTTTCAGCATATTTTGTGTGTGAAGTGGTTATGTGGTTTTTGCTACCTAAAGATCGTATATCTTGACCAGGCATGGTGGTTCATTCCTGTAATGCCAGCTACTCAGGGGGTGGAGATTGGGAGGATCACAGTCCCAGATCCTTCCCATAATGGTAGAGGATCCGAATGTATCCATCAGCTCCAGCACTGAGCTTTGCTGAGAGGCAGCATGGGTTGACCAGTTAAATGTTCAGCATTAAGAATCATTCATCTTGATTCTTATTCCCCATGCTTCTTCCACTACATTTTCTTAGGATAAAGAAAGGGTGAATATTTTAGTTCGATAAGGAAACTTTCAAAAGGTATGGAAGGAGTTTCCTCCCTCCTCACGCTTGCAAAGCAGCTGCTTTCCTGCTTGAGCCACACCTCCAGTCCATTTTACTTTGGTTATTTTGGAGATGGGGTCTCGTGAACTATTTGCTCGGGCTGACCTCAAATTGCGATCCTCTCAATCTCAGCTTCCCAAGTAGCTAGGATTACAGGCGTGAGCTGCTTCCTGGCTGGAAGGAGTTACTGAACTAGTGAGCCTGTATTTGAGAATTGACATTTAAGTAAGTCATTTTGCTAAGGAAAAAGTTTTAGTAGATGTGTTAATTTTGTGTAGCTGTGACCAAAATGCCTGAGAGAACAAGTAAAAGGAAGAAAGATTTATTTTGGGTCATGGTTTCAAAGGTATTAGCCCATTGTAGCAGGAGGGAGGGACAGACCAGGACAGTTCACCAGGAAGCATCCAGGAAGCAGAGCGAAGTGCATACAGAAAGGGGTCAGGGCAAGACAAAGCCCCAGTGACCCCTCCTTCTGGCTAGGCCCCACTGCCTCCTTTTCACCACCTCCCAGTAATGTCATTGTACACACTGTGAATCCACGAGAGGCCAATCCAGCTGTTAGGTCGGCGCTCTCCTTATCGAATGGCCTTTGGAAGCACTAGCACAGACATGCCCACAGGTGAACTTTACTACTGTTTTAGGTGATTCAAATCCAGTCAAGTTAACAGTGAAGGTTAAGCTTCAAAGTATGTAATGTTAATAGAGAACCTTTGTAATTTCTGGAATAAAATACTTAGCCTCCTAGGGTGATTAATTAAAATGGAAGGTCAAAGGTTGAATTTGAAAGTAAGAATATGTTTATATATGACCAGATATGAAGGCTGCACTCAGCAGTGGAAGTTTTACATGGTTACATACTAAGGCATGCTTTTGCATACTTGTTCTATCTTCATGGGCTTTGAAGGACTTCTCTTGCACTGCCTTGCTTCCTTTTCTGAAAGGAGGAAAGGAGATCATTCAGGCCTTTTTCTTTCTTCCATCCTGCTGAGACTTAGGGGTTAACCAGAAGCCTTATCAACCTTTGTCTTTCACAGGGAACTCCAGCTAAGGGATAAGGGTAGTTTTTTCTACACATTAAGTATTTTCTTGTTCAAGGAGATAATGCTTTAATTTTCTGCATCTAATGATGGCTTAACATTTTTCTATGGACAAACCAGTGGAGTAAAGAAATAACCATTGAGAATAAAGTTAGTAGACAGTGTCTCTAGAAATTTTCTGTTGTTTTTGACCAGGGTACTGAAGATTTGGTGCTTGAAAATTCAAGTCAGACATCTTTTGAAACATCAAGCAGAGAAGCTGCAAAGAGAAGGAACTTGCCTAAACTTTTAGCCCAGGTTTCACCACCTGCTGATCAGCCCTTGCAGGAGGAGGTTCGTTGCTTAACCCCTACTCACTGAATTGTGTCAGGGTACAATAGCAGTGTGGCGTTTTGGGGAAAATGAGAACTGGCTCTTAACCGAGATGGTGTCTTCCCACCACCTTACCAAGTGATCAACCTCGTTATGAATCGCTTGTCCTGTTCATTAAGGTTATGAACCAAATTTAGAGGGAAGATGTAAAACAAATGATAATAGCTTTAGAAAGTCCTCAGTCTTTTTTGAGGAAGTCATTTGAGTATGAAGGAACAAGTAAACATTGGGTACAATGTTTACTAAGGGAAACATTCTTACTAGGTAGCTAGCTTAACACATTTTTGTGCCATGCTTTTTGGGTGACTAATACCTTCTACGGATTAATTTTGCCAGAAGCAATGATCTGAACATTTGATTTATTTTTTAAGATGAACAGAAATAGGAAAATGTTAGTAAATGAGAAAAATAAAGTAAACGATTGCTACCCAGCCCCTTATGAGCTTTTTTATTAAAAAGTATATTTGTATGTATTAAACAGTTTTGGGATTTTATTGAACTTAATTCATGTTGATATTCTAATATCTTCCCAGTTTTCTTTAGTTTACTTTTCTTTCTTTTTTTTTTTTTTTTTGGTGGCACTGGGGTTTGAACTTAGGGCCTCTCGCTCTTACCCCTGGGGCTACTCTGCCAGCCCTCCAGTTTCTTTAAATAGTGCATTTTTACACAATACCTTCTTCTTAAAAGAAGAATTCTTTAAATGTGTATCGATTGATGGCTGTCATCTCAAATTCTATTTTATAATTCATTGTTAGAACAAAGTTGCTAATTATTTGAGCTCTCATTATCTTTTTTTTTCAGTGCTAGGAATGGAACCCAGGGTCTTGTGCATGCTACACAGGCACTTTACCACTGAACTACAGCCCAGCTTGAGCTCTTTTTTTTTTTTTTTTTTTTTGAGCTCTTATTTTTAATGCAAACTTGTTATAGATGTATATCACTGGGGTTTGAACTCAGGGCCTCATGCTTGCTGGACAGGTGCTCTACCACTTAAGCCACACTCCCAGCCCTATTTTTTGCTTCTTGAAAATGTTTACATTCCTCTTACTGATGCTTATATTTCTTTAGGTTCCTGATTTACCTGAAGAACCCTCTGAAACGGTTGAAGAAGTAAGCTTATTTTTCTTTGAAAATTAAACTTATTTTCCATTTTTTTTAACATCAAGTAAATATGTCTTATCTAAATTTGGGCTTAGAGAGAAAAGATAGAAGACGTGTTCATGCAGTTGCACTGTAATTAGGTCTTGTTCTGAATATGGCATAGCATCAAATTCCACCACTGAGTCCTGGTTTTGGAAGTCTTCCGTCTGCTGAGTTGTCTTTTTGAGCCCACCTACTGCCTCAGGCATAGAGAGGGTACATATGGGCTTTTCCAAAACTTTAGGTCAGCAAATGAGCTACTTATTAAAGCGGAATCAAAACAGGCAGATGGCTTTAGATTGCAGTTCTCCGTTTAAAGAAGAGACGACAAAGAAGACAGCTGCTTATACATGCTGTGAGAGTGGATTATGTAAGAGTAGTTTGCTGTCACAGGAGTGGGTTGGGACTGGTCCCCCCTCTGCACTCAGTTGCTTCCTTCCCATGGCTTTGTTACAGTTTGTATTGCCTTCCTGCCCTTGGCCAGCCCAGGTACAGATACATGTCTAAAGTAGGGGGAGCATATGTTTTCAAAGCCATTAAGTAATTTTGGCAATATGTCCCAAAAGAAAACTGTCATAAGCTTTTATTTTTTGAAGTTTAGCAACTGTTATACTCCTGGGAAACCACTTTTTGAGGCAGTTAAGAAAGCAGTTAGGAAAGTTTCATTTTTGTCAACACGCTAGTAATATTTAAGTTTAGTTCTTGGGTGTCTGAGGAAAAGCTGAAAGACAATGGAAGCGAGTAACTCAGATACTGAACCCTCTGGGGAAAACCAAAAATTTTAAAGACAAAGTCTTCATTGTATCTGACAAATTCTTGCCTTAATATGCCTGTCCTCATTTCAACTGTTCATCAAGCTTTGGGTTGGTATCTGTTTGTACAACCGGTTTCTTTTTTCCTTTTTTTTTTTTAAACAGGGTCTCACTCTTGAACTCATTATGTAGCCCCAGGTTGGCTTTTAACTTGCCTCCTGCCTCTGCCTCCTCAGTGCTGGTATTACAAGAGTGTGCAATGATTCCTGGTTTTGACAATCATTTTCTAACATAGTGTAAGCAAGTACTGCTTGGGTTTTATAGGAAAGGCCTGAATTACTCTGGCTGTGAACCGTTTGACATTTTCTCTATACAACGGTAGTGTCACTGAGGTTCCACAGATTACAAACCTGAGATTGTCAGTGAATCCTTTGAAATTGTACCTTTTTGTTATCAGTAGAAGGACAGTGTTTTTCTTCAGCTTCTTATTTCTTAAAAGGCTAAGAAATATTGGCATCTTTGATTCTGTTAGACTCTTCATTAGACAAATTAGACTTCGTAATTCCCTGCTAGCTGGTGTTCGCAGGCCTGCGTGACTCCAAACATGGGGTTCCACCTTTCAGTGACTCCTGTTTTCTTGGACCTCCATCTGCCTGTGGTCTACTAATCTATTTCTGGGCAGTCAGCCTCATCCCTCTCCAATTCCATGCCTCTGTCTTTCCCCTCATTGTGGAAAGTGTTTTCAGAATAATGAAAATAGACTGTAAGAATCATCAAACTTAAAAACAAGGAAAATGAAGTATTCCATTTTGGGGAGTGTGCCTTTCCAATCCATCCTTACCCTAGCACTGTAATAAAGTATTTTCAAAGTCAAAAATGCAAAGAGAGTAGAGAAGGACTATACTATAGTTACTGAAGATTTTATGATGTTTGTCTTTATATAGTCATATTGCTTCTGACTTTCTGAAAAATACTATTTCCTGTTTTATGAATCTAACAGTTTTAATCTAGTATTATAATGACATGTCATTTGACATAATCATTACATATTATGTAATTATGATATAAGCCAGCTTCTATCATGACAAATATATTTAAGTCCCTAAGCTAAATAACTTTGATGAATACATATATAAAAGAATATTTTCACTTTTAAGAATACTGGAGGCCGGGCATGGTGGTGCACTTCTGTAATCCCAGCTATCAGGGAGGCAGAAATCAGGAGGATCATGGTTTGAGGCCAGCTCAAGCAAAAAGCAGAACCCCATCTCAACAAACAAGCTTCTTTAGGACCATTAGGACATGGTGGGGCATGTTCTAAACCTAGCTACAGCAGGAGGCATAGGTAGGAGTAGGGGATCATGGCCTGAGGTTGACCTTGGTCAGAGGTGAGACTCTATCCAAAAAATAACTGAAAGCAAAAAAAGGAATAGGAGTGTGCCTCAAGTGGCAGATTGCTTGCTTAACTAGCACAAAGCCCTGAGTTCAAACCCCAGTACCACCAAAAGAAAAAAAAATGGTGGGGGCGATAATACTTTTTAGGAGTTTCTTTATTTCCTTATTAAAGTTTTTGTGACTAAATGCATTACTGACAGAATAGAGGTCTACGTTTATTCTTCCACATTGATAGGAGAAGGAGAAGGGCATTCATTCTACCAGCAATCAGAACCAGAGGAAGCTTTCATTATCCATGTGTGTGGTTTGCATGTGTAGTAGCTGTGGCTATTAGAGAATGAGAGATCTGAGCAAGTTCCTGTCATGCTGGAAGCCTGCTTGGGCTTAGGAGGCCTCTAATCAATGGAGATCCCAATGAGTGACAGGGACTGTGACAGGAGAGGGAGGTCTGAAAAGGAGTGAGTTCTTACTGGAGGAGTGCAGCTGGCCTACTCATATCCTGTTGTGTGGTAGTGCTGGAGCTCTTTATGAACTTCTAAAATACCAAGATAGATTTTCAAAGTGAGAAGAGGAACTAACTCATGGTAGTCCAGAATTCTTAACTGAATATTCACCTCTTTTCCTGTTCTAAGTTAAAAAGATGGTAACAATAGAATTTAGGGTGATTTGAAAGTAAATTTGTAAACCATCATACAAGGGTTCCACACTGCCACAGCAGTCGCACACTGTCCTATTTCATTTTGAGGACTAGCTGTGAAGCAAATTTTAATTACTGCTACTACTTCTGAATCATATTTCATTTAACAATCTGTGTTTTGGACACTGATTTACTTTCCAAATTGATCTATGGACAATGCATTTTATTCATTCATGCCCACTTCATGGTCACTAATACCAGGAGAAATTATACACCTAACTCTCATGGTAACTGTACTAGAACAATTGCTAGATTTGAAACAATGACAGTTCATGTCCTCAAGTTTTTGTTTCATAAATAAAATGAATTAACACTTGTTTCTTATAAGGCAGTTGGTTTTAATTGTCCTGTCAGATTATTGCATTTAAGTAAAACAATGTAAAAATTAAGTTTTATTTTTACAGCTAAGCAGAATTGGCTTTTAATGTGTGATCCAGTTATTTTGTGATTTGTTTATTTATTTTTGGTGGTGCTGGCGTTGAACTTAGGACCTTGTGTTTGCTAGGCAGCGCTCTACCACCGGAGCCCACAGACTGCTTGCTTTCTTTACAAAGAGCTTTTCTTCAGTGGAGATAATAGCGGAGCAGTAGGACTTCCATGTAACAGAGCGCAGCATTACACGGATTGGGATGTAGATCAAGTATGGAAATTTGACTTTGTGGTGTTGGGGCTTGAGCCCAGGGTCTCACACATACTTGGCATGCACTCAACCACTGAACCACACAGCCCTAGCCTGAGTGGATGTGTTTTCTAACAGGCTTTCCACAGAGGGGAAGGGGCTGTTCTAGAATCACATCTATACTTAGCATGATGCCCAGTAGCTCCCAGGACAGTTAGTGAAAGGGTTTTCTGGTAGGTTTATAATGAACTGCAGAATAAATGACTGCTTGGTTTTCTTCTCTTTTTTGATGATGGCCTTTCATAGACTAGCAGGTTTTTTAGGTGCTTAAGTGTTTCGTCAAAGGGAAGATGATGGGGAATTCAGTACATGAAGCAGATGGAACTGGAGCTGCCCCAAGGAGTCAGAGGGCACTGAGCTCCAATGACCAGGACGACTCTGGGGTCATTGCTCGCTTGTTGGGGAAGATGGAGAGATGGCTTGCGTTCCATGATAATGAGAGTGGACGGGCACATCTTCTGCCTTCCAGTGCAGTACTCTTCTTATCTGTAGAATGTGAGGCAAAACCCTGGGTCTTCTTGGCTTGGCAAGTAACTTTCAAAGCTGCTACAATCTGGATGGTATCTGGACAAAAGAACTTAGTCTCCAGTGTCCTCGTGGGAAGGCCCTGGCACTGTCGCTGAGCTCAGGCAGCAGAAAGATGAATTATTTCCATGTTTAGGGTGACGTTTAACTCTCAGAGCTACTTTCTGAGCTCAGTTCCTGCAAATCTCCACCACATGAGCTGTTTTGATCTCGATGTCTTCCTGGTGGTGGTAGTTTTAGAACTGTGAAGGGCAGTGGACTGGACTCTTACCTGAACATTCTTATTCCTCAGGCAGTTACTATTGCCCTCCGATGTCCAAGCGGGAGTGTCCTGAGGAGAAGGTTTTTGAAGTCTTGCAGTTCACAGGTGAGGAAATTTGTATTTTGAAAAATATTTTTGTCGAATTTGCAATAGTTTATTCAAAGCAGTGGGAAAGGCATTATCACTTTCTGATACTCCCATCAGAGTAGAGTGACGGGCACTTGCAGGTATTCCACACGCCAAAGGTTTGGTGGGCTGCTTTGAATTGTGATTTCTGCGTTCAAATTGTATTGAGTTCTTTCCTTAATTACCCTCCTTCCCTCCCTCCCTTCTAGTCCTTCCTTCTCTTCCTTCCTTCTTTCCCCTTTCCCTCCCTTTCTCTTTCTGTTTGTCTCTTTCTTCCTTTCTTTTGTTTCTGATGTAATCCAGGGCCTTAGCCTGGCTCATCTTTTTTCCTTCAAGCAACAAAACATGCTTTGTAAAATAAACATGTAATGTTTGAGGCAGGTTATGTTTTTATGCAGTACTAAGTGGAAATTTTGATCATTTCTATGGGAATTGACAGGGTCTTTGCAGGTCCAAATTTCTGTTATCATGGGCTCCTCCTGCTTCAGTGTCCCAAGTAGCTGGAACTACAGATGTGTACGACTGTGTTTGGCTTTTTTTGTTTTGTTTTGTAGAGTGTTTTTGTTTCGTTGTGCTGGGGTTTGAACCCAGGGCCTTGCAAATATGGCAATTTTTTTTTTTTGCGGTACTGGGGCTTGAACTCAGGGCCTCCACCTTGAGCCCTAGTTTTGTGAGGGGTTTTTCGAGATAGGGTCTTGCAAACTGTTTCCCTGGGCTAGCTTTGAGCCGCAGTCCTCCTAAGTATCGAGGATTACAGATGTGAGCCACCAGCGCCCAGCAAATATGGCAATCTTTATGACAGGTAATGTTATAAAATTATAGGACTGGCCCATAGAGAATCAGGTTGTCATGAAATAGTCTTAGGAGCCTGGTTATTTCTATTGTGACAAAGTTCCTAAGTGATTCTGATCTCAATAATTCTTTCCCAAATGCTTACCTTTTGCCTTCAATATATTTATTTATTTATTGCAGTACTGGGGTTTGAACTCAGGGCCTTCACCTTGAGCCACTCCACCAGTCCTATTTTTGTGAAAATTTTTTTGAGCTAGGGTCTCACAAACTGTTTGCCCAGGCTGGCTCTGAACCACGATCCTTCTGATTTCTGCCTCTGAGTAGCTAGGGTTACAGGCGTGAGCCAGCGGTGCCCGGCTTCAGTGTATTTATCGAATACTCTTTCCCTTCCCTATGGATGAAGCTTCATGGTTGTTAAATGCCTTGGCTGACTATACTCTGGAACTAAAGGTATTAAATGTTACTCACATCTCAAAATTCACTGCATGCTATTTTCTGTTAAACTCTAGGAAGTTTCTTTGAAAAGTGTGAAAGTTTTTTTTTTCATCACTTCTAGAGTTACGATTTCATAGTGACTGCACTGTAAAATGTCACAGTGACCCAGAGGAACGCGATGTGCGCAGTATTTAATAATGACTGAGTCTTTTATCTTCTAGGTCTTGTTTGACTGGATGATGAGAATTGGGTACTGCACATCCCTGTACGGCCTTTTCACTTCCTTTCCCAGAAGGCCTGTGAAGGTGGAGGGAGGATGCTCACTGGCGGATGTAGGCATAACTGTAGATACTGCTCTTATTGTGGAAGAGAAAGAACAGAGCAGCTCGTAAAGAGATGAGAACTGCCTGCTCTTCATAAAGTCAGTTTTGCCGTGACTTTGCAGGACAGTGACAGCTTCACATTGAAAATCATGCGGATCCTTGGTGGAGGTCAAGGCAGTAGATACTTTAATGTGATCTATGGGAAGATAGCCACATAACATTTGGAAAAGGTTGCTCTGTGCACATAATTGTTGGTAGGGAAGACTGTGGCCTAGGGAGAAAATGGAGCCCCATTTTAACCAACAGCTGGGTGTGGTGGGACTATATCATAGCTGTGTTTTGTCTCCCACATAGGTCATTCTTTAAGTGCAAGGGCTCTGTCCTTTTTCTCTCCAGAAGTACCTATTGTATAGTAAATAATAGTAATAATTGTTCAAAAATAACAACATTTAGCTTTTTGTCTCTGGATTATCCCACATCAAAGAAAGCGAAAAATTTTTTCTTGATAATAAATTGATTGTGAAGTGCTTCCAAACTTTACAAAGTTATAAAAACAAGCCGGGTGCCAGTGGCTCATGCCTGTAATCCTAGCTGCTCAGGAGTCAGAGATCAGGAGGATCGCTGTTTGATGCTATATGGGGCAAACACTTTGTGAGACCCTATCTCAAAAATATCCAACACAAAATGGGTTGGTAGAGTGACTTTTCTGCCTACGAAGCATGAAGCCCTGAGTTCAAACCCCAGCATCTTAAAAAAAAAAAAAAAAAAGTCACCCATATCCTTGTTCCCAGAAATAAGGTTGACAGCATCGGACCATGGCTCTGGTCAAGAGCTCGAGTGTGGCTTCCTGAGAATCCCCAGCCAGAACCTCACCGCTAAGGTTGCTCCCAGACTCTGAGTCTTATTTCTGTGACATTACCAGTAATGTTGAGGCAGCTGTGTTGGGTTCATTTGAATGGAACAGTGTGTATCATGGGGATTTCGGTACCTGTAAGTCAGCTGGTGCCATAACGAGAACCTGACAATGTGAGTGACTTTGGAGCCAAGCACTGGAGTTGGTCTCTGGAACTGGATAAAAGTGTTACAGTTGGACAGAGCTGCAGGTGAGGACCTACTGGCAGATAAAGAAAACAACATTGGGCACTGTCACGCTGTCATACTGTCACACAGCGGCAGAAATCCCAGCCACACTGAATTACCTGGGAAGGAAGATAGAGTCAAGTGGTAATACCATTTCCAGCTATAGCATCAGTTTTACCTTGTTGCTTCTTGCTGAGATAAACTAAAGAAGTGGGATAAAAATGAGATCCGCCAAAGATAGGTTTAACAAAACACAGGGCGCTATGTATTCACTGGGCTGAGTACAGCTGAGTGGTCAGAGGATTTGCCTACCATGGTGCAGGGTCCTGGGTTCAATCTCCAGTACTGGGGGAGGGGAAAGGGGGAATAAAGGAACCAGGGCTCTCTGGAAACTTTTTTTTTTTTTTTCCCCCAAGTCTGGGGATCAAACCCAGGGTCTTGGACATGCTAGGCAAGTGTCTGTCTGTGAACTACATCCCTAGCCAAATGAGGGCTCTCAGGTTTAGAAGATAACCAGCCTCTCCAGATGACAAATAATGCTAACTAATATTAAGACAGCTTCAGAGCAAAGATCAAATCTTGTGCATTCTTAGGTAAAGATATAACTCAAATCCTTCAATATCTAAGAAAGTCTAAAGGTTGGTGCCTCTGAATAAGATTCATAGAAGGCCCCATGTGGTGATGCATGCCTGTACTCTCAGCTACGCAGGAGGTGGAAATAGGAAAATCACAACTTTGAGGCCAGCCTGGGTAAAGTTAGTGAGACCCTCTCTCAGAAACAAAAATACAAACCAAGGGCCTGGCACCTCTGCTCCGGAGGTATAGTGCTTGCTTAGCATGCACAAGACCTTGGGTTCAATCCTTGTGACTGCAAAAGAAAAGAAAAAAGAATCACGGAAGACTGAAAAGTTTGAAAATTTTCATCAACAGTAACTAAAAGAGATAAAGTAAAAAGTGAAAGGCTTTTGGATTCCCAAAATTCTACTGGCAAGGTGAGAAAAATGCTCTGCTATAAAGCTCTGCTGTCTTTCATGTAATAAAACAATGACTTTAAAGGTGAAAAACAACAATCTGGAGCCAAGGGAAGTCATTTCCTGGCAGGAAGAGGGCTGAGACCTCCCAAGGCTTGCCCAACTGGATTTCACAACTGCTTATGGACCAGTGACTTCCATTTGCAGCCTTTTGAACAGGAGTGTCTGGGAATCATGTTGTCTGTCTCACCATGGCATGGGGGGAATGGGGAGGGGTATAATTTTAGTTTGCAGGCCTGCAGTCAGTAGCTGTGTTTCAGAGGTGTGCCTAAGAGCTGCACTGGAGAACTCACATGTGCACCTGGACCTAATGTAAACAAGATCCTCAACTCTGAGCTGAAGGTGTATTGGGATGAGATTCCGGGAACACACATCTCTTCATTCAGGAATCACTGGTGGCTGGAGGGCAGAGCCAGCCTCCAAGAGAGCCCTGTGAGCCCTCTTCTGACCTTCCCATGGTGAATGAGCCAGCGAGGAATTAACCAGAAGTGATGATATGCTAGCTTTGGTTCTCTGTGTCCTCTCTTGCTCTGGTGAGGTGTTGTTAGCAGCCCAGTGGAAGGAATCCTTTGCCAAGGAACTGAAGCTTTCCAAGTTAGCTTGGAGTGAATCCTCCAGGCCCAGCCACGGCGGCCTGGCTGATATCCCACGACCTTGAGTCCGAGGAAGCCAGCTGAGCAGCTTCTGGATTTCTGAGTCACAGAAACTGGGACGAAAGCATTGTCTTAAGCTATTTTGTTCAGGGAACTGTTATGTGACAGTAGATAACCAGTATAGGAAGTATTCAGGGTATTTTCTCTGAAGAGGAAGATAACCTTAAAACAGGGTTGTAAAACATGGTAAACTGTCAATTAAAGGCTGTAACCTCAAACAGAGCTGTAAAACATGAGGAATTGCCCATTAGAGCCATGCAAAAGTTCAGGATCCAGGTGAAGGGCACCATGCAGAGATAAGCACCCATTCCTGCATTCCTTTGTCTCCACTTGTAAATAAACTTTCCAAAGCAGGACTCCCCTGCTGTTCTTATCTAAACCTTAGGTTTCTAATCCACTACTAGCCCCTAATTTATGGGAGAACGCATTCCTTGTAACCTGATGCCCTGCACTGCCTTTTAAATATCCTGTGAATCCTTTGTCCAGGGCTCAGACACAGGTACACGTCTGGGCCCGCTGGCGTAAAATTAAAATCTGAGTTCTCCACTCCTCCGAGTGTCGCTTGGTTTCTCCTCTGACTATATTGCCACAACATCTCCAGCAATATAAAATCCTTGGGAATGACTTTTGTCTAATAAGCTTTTCTTCCCCCCCCCCCTTTTTTTACTTTTCCCTACCTCATGTCTCCTCATTCATAATACAGACCAGGCACAGGGCCTGGGGCTGAGGTGTACAGGGGGTAAGTTTATTTTTCCTCCTCCTGTGTTGTCCATGTAAGAGTGTCTGCCTTCAGCCAGGAGGCCTGTTTTTAAAGAAACACATTCAAATGCAAATAGAAATGCAAAAGGAAAAGAATGAGCATGTCAGATCCACCTGTTCTGATCATATACTTCCAAAGGCTACTCTATCCACCCACATCCATTACCAAGAATTTTGAGTACAGAAAATGAATATTACTTTAAAAAAATCTTTGTTATTTAAACTGGCAAAAATATTGGTAGTTAATAGGTAGTTTCTAATGTTTGCAGAATAAAATTCTCCCCCATCTCCTAAATTTTATTTCAGACAGTCTTGCTGTGTAGTCCAGACTGACCTTGTGATCACCCTGCTTCACCACCCTCCTAGTGCTGGGATTACAGGTGTGTACCACCATACCCAGCTCCCAAATTTCTAACAGAAATCTTTAGGGTTGGCATGGGATTGCAGACATTTTTCTTTTAACAGAAAACCACTAACAGTTGCATGTCCAATTAAAGGGCTAAAAATAGACAATTGTTTCCTTGCTTCAAAAGCAGTATTTTTGCCTAGATTTAGAGAAAGGAACTAATGCCTTAAATCTTTAGACTCTTGGTTATATTATTATTATTTTTTGTATTGTAGCTGTCTTGCAATAAGATGGAAAAATAAGCAGCATAGGATAAGCAAGCAGCTTTTTTGTAGGTGGGAGAGACATGACAGGGGAGAAGCCATCTCTATATACGTATACATACTACAATATGCTAGGCATTATGGCCAGAATTTGCTTAAAAATAACTTGGAGTGGAGATATAGGTGAATAAATATGAAAGCTAAGTGATCTGTACACGGGGCACTTCATGCTCTTCTACTTTTGGAAATGTAAAAAGTCCTCACCAAGAGGACTGGTCACGTGATCTACGAAAAGTTCTGAATTAAAGCTGTAGTATTTTGAGTGAGCCCCAGCAAAGACTTGAACCCTTTCTCCACTTAGCCTGTTTGCCACTGTTTTTATAAAATCCTTCAGTGAAAGAGTGGAATTGGAAACGCAAAAAGCCTATTTTTTCTTTTCGGTGACGCTGGAAATTGAATCCAGGGCCCAGCGTATCCCAGCTAAGAGCTTACCACTGAGCTTCTGAGTATCTTCAAAACTGTGCAATGAAAGTGTTCCGGGTGCCCCTTGCATAGGCACTTGCTGTAGAATCTCAAACTCCCAGCACCGCTAGCTCTGGAGCCACGGACCCTTAGAGAAGTTCCCCTGTTACATTACTCTTCACCTCTTCACTTCTCCCTCTCTCATTGCAATGGGTGGTGTGAGCAATCTATTAAATAGCTTTGTTAAAAGAATATACAGTCATTTTAGGTTTGTCTTATGACAATGATGCTAAGGAATATTTTGCTGTGGGGGTTAAAAATAACACTTTTTCTGGGGCAGTATTGGGGACTGAACTCAGGGTCTTCTGCTTGGTAGGCAGATACGCTACCATCTGAGCCATGTCCCCAGGCCAAAACATGGTATCTACTTCCAAAGGAAAATTTTAAATGAAATGTGAAATTCCCCTTTGGTACAGAGGAACTAGCTTCAATCAACTAATCACTCTGCTAGCTGAAATTGTGATCCTAAAACCAACTTCTAAATCGTACAGCATTTCTGGACTTCTGCTTAGGACACAGGATGCAACGAATGTTGCTCCCACCCTAACAAGAAGCAGCTGGATGAGACACAAGATATTTTTGAGCTGTCGAGAGCTGAGGCTGCAAAGCAACTACGCAAACTGAATCCCAGAGAGGGATAATCCTTTCCAAAGAGAGACAGTATAGGACCTGGTCTTCCCTTTGGAAAAGCGTGTGAGAAAAGGTGGCTGCTATATAAGCTAAGATTTAAGAAAAAATTTAAACAAGCATTCTTTGAGATGGGAGTCTTGCTATGTTGCCCAGGCTTGTCTTAAACTCACGTGGCTCAAGTGACCTTCCCACCTCAACCTCCTGAGTATAACATTTGTAAAGGCCAAGCAAGGGCTACTGCATCAGTTTGGGGCAGGATTAGCTAATTTGTGGACCTTAGTGCAAAATGAAAATGGTAAGTCTTGCTAAAACAGGAAGAGTTCCAAAATGGTGGAAGCACATTAAGCAATCAAGCCAACTCTGGTTTGGGCCTCAGAATTCCCACCCACTAGAAATCTCTCCTCCATGCCTCTTTGCCCAGTGGTCAGGAGAAGTGGGATAGGGCAGAAGACAGCAAAAGGTGACCTTAGAACAAACGAGGTGGTGCCTGGCTGGTGGCTGTGGGAGAGCAAAGTTCCCAGAGCTTCCTAGTCCCTTTCTTAACCTGTGAGGAGGGTACAGCGAGTACTATGGCCCACAGGGCACTTGCAAAGATCTGTGGTTTCTGGAGGAACAGAATATAACCTTATCCTTTCTCTCTTAGGAACTTAGCAAAGGCTTACTGCTGCTGGGAGAGAGGCAGTGGTCTACCAGTGCTGGTGATGGGGTAGAAAACTTAAGTCCTATAGCAGTAACATACAAGGCAGAGATTGGCCACCACAAGGAGGAGCAGAAATGTTGAGAAAACTCCTCCTGGAAGCCAAAGCACAAAAGGCCAGCCTGAAATCAAGGCTGCATCTGGACAGCGGGGAAATGCTCCTACCATGAGCCTACTCTGAGTAAACAACCAGCAGCCATGTATGCATACTGCTAGGGCAATTGGGAAGGGGTGAGAACGTGGAGAAAGGCACCCTCCTCCTTTCCGATGTGGGGGTGTGGGGGCAGCTAGGCACTGAGATGTGCAGGAATACCTGATAAAAACTTTGCACCCCAACCCCTGCTTTAAGCACAAGGGAAGGGGAGCACAGTAGCTCAAGAGAACCGTCTGAGGCCCATGAGCTCTGGCTCTATGGGTAATAGAACTTTACACTTGGTGAAAATACCTTCTGCAAATGGACATGACTTTTAAAGACATACAAAAGCTGAAAGAATTCATTGCCAGCAGACCTGCACTACAAGAAATAGGAAAATCCTTATGGCAGAAAAAAAATGAGAGCAGATGGAAATATGTATCTATACAACTAGAAATAGCACATTATTTTATATGAAAACCTTTTCAAAGCTCACTTTCAGGAGCTAGGGGTGTACCTCAGTGGTTAGCAGCTCTGGTTCCATCCCTACACCTCAAAAAAAAAATTACTGTTTAAAATAAAAGCTTAACACTGTTGTATTTGGTTTATAATACATGTAAACCCAAAACATGACAATAACACAACACTGGGGAGTATACTGTTACAAGGTTTGATCTCATAGATGGAATGGTGTAATATCACTTTTAAGTATACTGGTCAACTGTGATCCCAGCAGGAATTTTCCTGGCTCTTTCCCTGGTCATATCTGTTGAACTTCCTCTTTCCTGCTCCTTTGCTTGTTGCTGAGTTTCATGGGAACTGTGAGAACTCTCCACACTGGTCTCCACCATGATCTATTGTTTTGTTTTGAGACAGAGTCATACTATGTAGCCCAGGCTGGCTTTGAACTTGCAATTCTGCTGCAGTCTCTCAAGTGGTAGGATTACAGGCGTGAACCTGAGCCTTGAGCTCAGGTGTTTGAGATCAGCCTGAGCAACACAGAGACTCTGTCTCAAAACAAACAAACAAACAAACAAACAAACAAACCAAAACCAAGACAGACTGAAAAAAAAATGCAGCTATAATGCCATCTACCAGGAACAGTTGTAAGGGTTAATCAGTAACTCCAAAAACCTCCACAGCTAAAACCAAGTACTACAGCTGGGTGCTGGTGGCTCACACCTATAATCAGGGATACTTGGGAGGCAGATAATTAGGAGGACCATAGTTTAAGGATAGCCCAGGCAAATAGTTTCAGAGATCCCCATCTCCGAAGTAACCAGAGCAAAATGGTCTGGAAGTGTGGCTCAAGTGGAAGAGTGCTTGCTTTGCAAGTGCGAAAGCATTGAGTTCAAGTTCCAGTCTCACCCCCACCCCCTTAAATACAAATACTACTTTTCTTAGCCAAAGTAACATGAAACATAACAAAGATGAAAGAATGGAACCGAGGAGTTTGTAGCTCAGTGGTATAGCAGTTGCCTAACATATGCAAGGCCTAAAATTTCATCTCCAGCACCACACACAAAAAATGCAGTCAAAATTTTCTTCTACCAGATATCCCAGTTCATTACCTTAACAGTCTACCTTCCATAGAAGCCCTTGAACATCAATACAATTTTGCCAAGCTCGACTATGTAACATGATCTTTATTCCAGTTTCTAACACCTTGTTCCTTATTTCTGAGACATCATCAGAATGGCCTTTGCTGTCCATATGTGTACTTATGACTATTTAAGTCATTTCTAAGAAGTTCCAGACTTTCCCTGTGTTTTTTCTTCTGGGCTTTCAATCATAATCGCTCTTAACACTCTCATTATAGCAATCTAGGCTTTTCCCTGGCTGTTATTCAAGATTCTTTTAGACTCTGTTAACTCAAGGTCACTTCCACATCTTCAGGTATTTGTTACAGAAATAGCACTCAGTACCGATCAAAAGGTAGGAATAAAGTATACACTTCAGTTTTAA